CGTGACGTACTCATAAGTAAAAGTAATCACACAAGTTGTCTTGCTTGCTGTTATGTGACAAAATGATTAAATAGAGGAAAGGTACCATTATATTAGACCTATTTGTAATAACGTCTACATATGATCAAATCTGATGTCAACATTTCTTTCTCAATACCGGAGCAAGAGAAATGTTGTGTTTCGTTAATAGAATGAATTCATTACCGTTCACTAGTTTACATGATCTATTTTAATATACGCTACGCCCCAGTGAGTCAAGTTATTCGTTTTCCGATTAAATGGAGATGATTTGTTAGATACAAAATTATTTTTACAAAATAAGAACGAATGTATAAAACTTGATGTCGTTGAACATTGTTATACTCGGACTAATCTTTTCGGATATATTGATTTGTTAGCAGGGTGCCTTAACAACAAAAGTAAATAGTGGTTAAATACAAAAAAATGCAGAAGGCCTTCGATTCTGTCCATCTGCAGGTACTCAGACATAACGTGTCATGATTTTAGTTTGAATGAAATGCGTCTACCAGAATGAGTTTAATTTTTTTATGACATGCTTTTACATTGTAAATTCATAGTACTGTGACGTAAACATGAGACGGGTCTTGTGTGTGGCTACTCCGTATTTGTGGGTTGTGGTGTACTTATCTTTTATATCTTCACTTCTCTTCAGCTCTGCTGTTGCTCGAGGTGGGAATCGTTTGGCACAATGTATTGTCACATGGTGTGAGGGGGGGGGACTAGTAATACATGCAATAATTTCCAACAACACTTTCTAATGTATATGGTTCCTTTTATTCGATAAATAACGCGAGATAACGATCATGTCTATCAAAAAGTAACATTGTTTTACACGGATGTAATAAATGGAGGGTGCCAAGATATATCCACAGATTTCAATTCTATTAACGTGATAATATTTTCAAGGATTCAGGGAAAAGCTCTGAGCCTGACTTGGAGGAGGGTATGGTAGGTTCCATTCTTCCGGATGTGCTAACTATTTTTTTCTGTTTTGGATTTATTGCTATTATCGCTAAACAAAAAGAAGATTGAAATGCGCTTGAGGGGTGAGTTGTATGTAAATAAAAAATTGCCTTCCAAGTCAAGTTCAGACCTAATATCAATCCCCATAAGTCAGTTGTTACTGTTTTGAGTTATGTCATTGTGTTTTTGGAGCGACTTGTGAACAATTGAGTATGAAGCTTTCTTCCAAGCAACTATTCTTTTAATTTTAGAATGGGATTTCTGGCGAGTATTGCAATGGTTTTTGTGCTGGTGGGTGTGTCCCAGGTACAGTCGAAAGTAAGAAGTCTCGTTACATAATTCAGATTGCACACACAATTAATTACATTCGATTGAGATTTAGAAATATTGCCTAAATAAATACTGTTGTTATAACAATATCACATTTGTTCACCGATGACATCGTATTTAAAAACACATGTTGAAAACTAAGATGTATGATAATCTTATCTATAAAAACGCGACAATATATATTCGATAGGCTTCTTACATATCATGTATGTGAACTACACATGGCTTGCAACATTTGCACAAGTATTTCATTTAGACAATTATTTGAGAGAGGAAGAAGGTAAAGCTCAATTAAAAATATTCTACCAATTGTCATTCTTTTCATCATAATTTGAACAATGCTTTACCTTATCCTAATGTGAACTCACAAGAGAACTATTTGTTTTCCAGCCCGAGAACCATGGTAGTAAACGACAACTTGGTAAGTACATTTTCAACAAATTATCCTACCAGTTTTGGAAGGGACATGTATCAGACAGGATACACAGAAAGTGTACGAGTTCAACTAAACGCCCGTTTTACTAGTACATAATTGGCATCGCGTTGAACTCCTCGGAGTTCACGTGTGGTGTGATCAAAATGAACGCGCCCAATTTATTCAACATGGGGTCTACACATCTTTCTCTTACTGGTTTAACTATTTACTTGCACCTTTTTTTTGTATTGATGTCAGTCAAAAATCTGTATTACAACGACAAGTCAAACCATCTATGATTGGGTATGTTATTTCTGCTTCTGGTGCAGTTTACATAAAACGACTTTAACTTACAATTTCATGTCTAATAATTCAGTAAGTGTTAAAGCGGGGGAGTCGTCACCTACGCACGCATTATGTATTCGTATTATTATAGTAAAATACTAGAGCTGACTAGCAAATACACGTTAATGAGTGTAACTGGGAAGTAAAGACTGTCGTTGGTAGGAATAATAAACACAAACACTATTATGAAAAAAGTTTAGACACAAATAGCGCAATTTCGCTTGTGCATGGGGCACGCCGTATTCCCAATCAAATTAAATTGCCTGCGATGGGACATCCACATAGCTGATGCAAGTTATGCACATGTGTATGTCCATGGAAGGTACTAACGGAAGGAGCCACGACGCCTATCAAGTGGCCACTTAAGCCTCTTAATTGGCTTATTTCCTTTTGTTTCAACCCAAATTAATCCTGATAAGGCCATTGTCTAGCTCACCTTTGATGTCCATGATAGTTTGCGATTGTTTACACAAGTAACTAGTTAGCGGAGTATGATACAACCCCGCCATTTTGTTAATGTGACTATGAAATATATGC